TCCAAAGCTAAGTCAATTGTTAGCAAATGCATACCCTGTGCTATTCCTTATAGCTTATAAGTTATAACAACAGTTGACGGAGATTCATCCCTATTTCCTAAAAGAAGGACCTGTATTTTGGAAGTGCACAACTTGTTGGAATATGACCCATAGGTTTTTATATTGATAAGTATCTCACCACTTTCACTTTCTCTTTTCATTTGTGTGGATGATGACAGAGTACTCCATCCTAAGTCCTGTAATGGTTGCGTTTATTTCTCCAGTAGTAAACTTGAGGGTAGAGCAACATCACCAGTGTCATTTTGAACAAGAATTTAGTAAAGGGGCTTTTAAGAAATATTATAAAAAGAACCTAATTAAAATCTTTCCCTGCTGAATTTTCAGATACTGCTATCGGATTCCTGACAATCTTCCCTCACACTTAGCAGCACCACTATTATGCGCTGGAATTACTGTTTATTCTCCCATGATTCGCCATAATATGAACCAACCTGGTAAAAGTCTTGGGGTGGTTGGGCTAGGTGGTCTTGGACATATGGCCGTTAAGTTTGGTAAGGCTTTTGGACTGAAAGTTACTGTTTTTAGCACCAGTATATCAAAGAAAGAGGAGGCCTTGAGTGTACTCGGGGCAGACAATTTTGTTATTTCATCTGATGAACGGCAATGAAGGTGATTATTGCTGAACTTATATGTATTACTATAGCTCTCCACTTTGTTGTTCTCGACTGATCTGATACGTTTCTTCTAGGCCCTCACTGGATCATTGGACTTTATAGTAGATACTGCATCAGGAGATCACCAGTTTGAGCCATATTTGTGGCTTCTAAAGACATTTGGTGCGTATGTTCTGGTGGGCTTCCCAAGTGAAGTGAAATTTAGTCCTGCGAGTCTTTTATTAGGTTTGTCTACCAATAGAACTGGACTGCTGAATTTCGTGCAAATTAGATCCTATATATGCAGCTTCCATTACTTTTCTCTATATCTTGTGATTTTTCTGGCAGGTATGAAGACTTTCTCTGGTAGTATAACCGGTGGTACTAAAGTCACTCAAGAGATGCTGGAGTTCTGCGCTGCAAATAAAGTATACCCGAATGTAGAAGTTGTTCCTATTGAATATGCAAATGAAGCTATTGAGAGGCTCATTAAGAGGGACGTGAAATATCGTTTTGTGATTGACATTGAGAATTCCCTCAAATGATTGAATATAGTAGCCTAAATTAGGCCAAATGCCGAATTACTGAGTAGGCTTTACAGTTTACACACCATAAACCACCTTCCTGATATTCAGAGTTATAGCGAGGCTTTCAAGTGGGTGGCATATATTTTTTTTCTTGAGCATTTATACATGAAAGCTTATTATGACAGGTCCTATACGTAGTTTGCTGCCTTGTTGAAACACTACAGTAAACGATTTTGTATGTATTGTGCAGTTTCATTCTGCTATAATTACACATTACTCTTCACCCTTGGAAGTTGGAAATATGATTCTTAATTATGCAAATTTAGCTGGTAAAAATTTTGCTCATTTAACCCAGTTTTAAAATGTCAACATGTATTTGTCAAAAATGATTAAACCGAAACCCAATTGATTTAAACCCAACCGTAGAAAACCTGAACTAAATTATCTTGAAATCTTAAGGGTTTAGGATAACTGGATAAGGATGTTTAGGGACTTAAATCTTGGTTTTCATGTAGTTTTGAAGAATTTTAGGAAATTATAACAATTGACCTTGCAATATATTACAAGTGTTTATTATACATACTAGTGGAGGATGTTTGGTTCATGAAATTTTGGTTGTATGGATTTAGAATGACTAACATTCACACCATATATTTGTTTGAGAAATTTGTAAATTTAAAACCCATGCCTAAACAACTAAACCCCCAAAGTATGAGATTGGACACCCTAGGGGTAGAGGTGATCAACTATGGCTCAACTCGATCCAGCTCGAAAATAGAGCGGGTTTGAAAAAAAAAAAAGAAAAAAAAAAACCTTTTTGGTTAAAAACCCGAACTTGGTCGGCCCATTTTGGCCCTACAAGCTTACCACTTTTTTGCGGATTTGGGCGTGACATTTGATGTTAATGCAAGGTCCGACCTGAATATTTGATCACCTCTAATGTGGGGTAGCTTTTAAGTTGGGTGAGGGGTGAGTTTCTAGTCAGTGTTTGGTATTTGGTCATTGCGGGCTGGGGTGGGTGGGTTTTGTTTGGGTTTTCGGTCAGTGTTTGGTGTTTCATCGTGGCTACATGGTGGGTGGGGTGGGTGTTTCGATCGGGATCTTATTGGTGGTAGGGTGGTTAGTGGGGTTTTGGGGAGAGGCCGGTAGGGTGGTGAATGGATATTGATGGTGATACGGTGAATAATTAATCAACCCACTCTCTTCTCCACTTAACCATATTCGTTAATTTAATTATCAAGCATAAAGAAATTTTGCCTAGGAGTTCATGAAGAGCTCTTTGTTGCAAATAAAAAGTAACAGAGGAAGTAGTAACCATTTATACTTCTTAAAATTCCATAATATAAAATTATAAATATTTATGATTAAAGTTATGTATGAACATGTATGTCGGTCAAAGTATTATGATAATTATATAACGTAGGGAGTAATTTTTTAGAACACCAACTAAGAAATATAGGCACAACTTAAAGAACCGCAAGGAGTAGTAACTATAACCTATACGAGGAATTCTCATTCTCAACTAAGTTGAGGCCAAATGGACCCAACTAACTTATTAAATAAAGGAAAAAGAAAAGTACATTAAAAATTAAAAAAAGTAAATGGAGGGGGGGGGGGACCTCATTGTCAATAACACCATCCCTTTCATCCCCAAATTTTGACTGGCAAATTAGCAAATTCACCATAGAAATCATGGCGGGGAAAAATCCCAAAAAATTTCCCCAAATTTTTCCCTCCTAAATTTTCCACCAAAAATTAATGGAATTCCTACCTATTCCTCGAAGACGCTAAAAAAATTGAATATTGAAGCGGTACAAAGAAAATATCCCCAAATTTTAGAGGTGAAAAACTGAAGCTGAAATAATCTCATCCCCGACACGAGTTCGGACAATTCAAGAGATCTGTAGTTGGGCTGAGTTGGCGAAAATGGAAAATGGTAAATGGGTGAACAAACAAAGAGAGATCATTGAGGTTAGTATTTATTTGTTGCATGTGGTTAATTATGTTCGATGAATGTGAATTCTTCAGAAATTGGTCATTGTTCAAATTGTTACGTTATGGTTTATAATCATTATTTGTCAAAATTTGAAGACTAAGTCTTTAATTAAATTATAAAAAGCACTTGAAATTGGAAAAGGCAGGAACATGCAATGCAATTGATTTGGATTTGGATCTGGTTAAATATTGTGGATTCGTACTTAAATGCTTTGATTTGCGTTATATGCCCTATATGTCTATCCAATTAAATGATTGTTCTCAAAATTTGCTTGAGTGTTGAGTGTTGCTCCTCTTGTGATGTTCCTGTTGTAGTGTTATTCTTGTTGATGTTGTTCTTTTGTTGTTGTTGTTCATGTATTATGAAATTGCTGTTGTTCTAATTTGCTTTCCCTAAAAAATTTTAGTAATAAGAGAATGAGAAATGGCTATTGGATAGAGAATGAGAAATTGTTGTTGTTCCAATTTATTGTTGTTCCAATTTGCTCTCCCTAATTGGTGTTGTTCCAATTTTAGTAAAAAGAGAATGAGAAATTAGTATTGGAGGATTGTTGTTCTTTTGTTGTTATTGTTCATGGAGACTCAGTAGTTTGTAGAGACAATGAAAGTTCACAAAGTGATTTGAATGATGATGGATGGGAGGGTATTGACTTGAATAAGGAGCCTCTTGCTGAGTGTACCATTACTGGGGAGGGTACCATTACTAGGGAGAGGGAGGTTATCGACTTGAATGACGATTGTAGTGTGGGTTCACATAGTGCAGGCTCAAAGAGGCGCTCAGACAATTCAGGGTCAGGTAGAGAGGGTACTTCATTACCTTAACCATAAGTGGGAATGGTGTTTGGCACTTGGCATGACATGAATAAGTTTTATCGTGGTTATGGGAAGCAAGAAGGATTTGGTGTTGTGTGTATAGGTGGTGGGAAGCCAGTCTCAAAAAATGTGGAGAAGTCAGATTCATTTCGCACTTTTGTCTGGAAGTGCGAGTGCTATGGTAAGATAACATACAGGAGGAGAGTTAATGGGAAGAGGATTGTGGTTAAGGAAGAACCAATTGTGAAGAACAAGACTAAAAAAATGCAATTGTCCAATTATGATTTATGGTCAAGGTAATGATGAAGGTAGTTGGATGATAAAGAAGGTTGTCAATGAGCACAATCATAAAATCAGTCCTGAGTTGTCCAAACACATAGCTATGTATAGAAAGGAAAATATTACAAAGCATTTGGAGCATAGGATTGGAAATGACCATGAATCCGGTGCATGCTCCGGTAGGGCAGATTTTCAACAATATGGCAAGCCAAAAAAATGGTGTTGCCAATATGAGATTCACGAAAAAAGATATTTACAATTTGGTGAATAGAAAGAGGAGGTTGAAGTTAAAAAATGGTGATGCCTCTGCTATGTTGGAGTATTTTGATAGAATGACTGCCGATAATTAATTTTTTTTTCACATGCATCGACTTGATGAAAAGGGGAGATTGAAAGACATCATGTGGGTTGATGCTTGGAGTAGGGAGGCGTATCAATATTTTAGGGATGTTGTTTGTTTCGATTCGACGTACCTGAAAAACCAATATGAACTACCGTTTTCGAACTATGTAGGGGTCAATCACCATGGTCAGACTATCCTACTTGGGTGTGCTTTGGTTTCACATGAGAATGCCGAGACCTTTGAGTGGTTATTCAAAACTTGGGTGTCATGCATGAGAGGCAAGGCCCCGACAGCTATCATGACAAATCAGGATGCGGCGATGAGGAAGGCGATTAGAGCTGTTTTTTTAATGCCTCAAACACGCCCCATTGGTGGTGTATATGGCATATAATGAAGAAGTTAGGGCAGAAACTTGGTGCTCTGTCTAACTATCAAGATGTCAAAGAGGAGTTGCAGCATGTGATCTATAACAACATTACCCTGAAGGAGTTTGTTGATTCTTGGTGGGAAGTTGTGAAAAAGTTCAAGCTACAAGACTTTGAGTTCTATGATTGGCTAGAAGGTCAGTTTTTTCATTTCTTGTATTTGAATAAAGTAAAAGTTAAAGTGAATGTCCATGCTTTGTTGATTTGGTCCTGTTTGGTTATGTTATATATTTGGCAGTAGTTTTACCAAGTTCCAACATGGGCTTGGATGGTATTTTATTTAATACTAATTAGGACAGTATCTCAGTTGAAATGCTATTACGTGCCTAACTTTTAGTGTTAATGTTCTGTAAATGTGCTGAAAATTCACTGAAATGAGGAGATAGTGTACACATGTTGCCATGCCATATTCAGTATGATTTTACACTTTTGATGTAATTTTTTTAAGTTAAGCCAGCTGATAATTCATCCCTGTGGAAAGATAGTTTATTCTGAAAAAGTATATTATAAAAATACAGAAGTCCTAAGTAGGTAGCATTAGAACAGAAGGTCACCTCATAGACATATGTAACAGAATTTAAGATGTGTTCATGATGTCGATAATGACTGATGTGTTCATGATGTGTTATGTTCCTTCTTATCCTTGGGATTACTGTCCCTGATGTGTCCATAACCAGCTGAGTGCACTATTTGGTATTGTAGATGATGATTGGCCTTTTTATGTTTGTGTTTGTTGGTAGGCCTGTTCGAGGAGCGAGAGATGTGGATTCCCGCGTATGTTAATTTAAAGATGTCTTTTGGGCAGGAATGCAAACAACTCAAAGGGTTGAGAGCATAAATAGCTTTTTTGATGGGTATATTAACAAGCACACTCGCCTATCTGAGTTTGCTCCTAATCATTGTAAGGCCTGGAAAGCCGTGCAAATGATGAGCAGGATGCGGATGCGAACTCAGCACGTTATGTGAGGCCTTTATTATCAGAATTTCGTCTGGAACGTAAATTTCAAAAACTTTACACGGATGCAAAGTTTGTTGAAGTACAAAATCAGTGCAACCGTGTGGCATATGTGACCCCTGTCGAGCCAAAGAAGTTGGTGTCACATATTGAGGAGGAGCATGTCTTCTCACATCGTGTATGGATATATTGCAAGAAAAAGAGGAGAGAAGTTCCCTCAAAAGATCGGTTGAAGGAGTATACAGTTTTGTATAACACGGAGAAAAAAGAGGCATACTGTGATTGTCGCCACTTTGAATGTCATAGGATTGTTTGTAGACACATAATAAAGATTTTAGACATGAATGGTGTTAGTGAGGTCCCTCCCATGTACATTCTTGATAGGTGCAGAAAGGATATTAGTAGGAAACATACCCTTACCAAAGTTGCTTATCATGATGCGTCCAAAACGGAAGAGGTGATGAGATATGATAAGTTGATGTTAGCTCTTGAACCTGTTGTTATGCATGCTTCATCATCGGATGAAGCTGTTGAAGTCCTGATGGATATGATTCAATTAATGAGCATTAAGGTTGATGAACTAAGTGTGTTAGCTCAAGGTTCAGGCCAAGGTTCTGGCGGTGATGAAAGGCCTAGTTGTGATCTTGAGGTGGTGAAACAGGCTATGCCTCCAACTCCAAAAACCCCTAGCTCAGTTAACAAAGGTAGCATTGCATAACCAGAAGAAACACCCAATTCAACATGTGTGAAAGATCCCGAACCTAGGGGTAATAATAAAAAGGGCAGACCTAGAAGATCTCGGTTCGTATACCCGGCAGAAAAAGGGGGTTCGAATAAACAGGCCAAGGTTGCTAAGATAGGTGGTAAGAAGAAACATGGTAGGGGCATGACACTGATGTGGATTATGACATTGGGACTGTACATCCCTTCAACTTCGAAAACTAGGTAAGTGTAGTGTGTGATGTGTTCAATGTATATTCCTAATATGTTGGCCACTCAATAGATGCCCCCATATTTTCAAGAACATGGGCACCATCAGGTACTTGTAGTATAAATAGGTGATTAATATATGCGGCAACTGCGTTTTTTATGTTAAAGGCTAGTGTTTTAAGTATTAAGCTAGCTACATGTATATGTTGGCATTTGTAGGTCCACAATCAGGGCCAATATGCTATACCAAGCAATGGGAGTGGCCCTTCAGGGTTTAACGGAAGGATATTAGCTGGTGGAATTCACATGAGTGAGCACAGTGACGCAGTTAGGTACTTCACCAACAACGAGTACCACAGTCAAATGCATTTCGCTCAAATCAGTCGTGTATTTAACAATGGGTTTGCGACCAACCCGTCCATACATCATTTGCAACAGGATTCAAATTATTCAATAATCAACTGATTTGTAGAAACAAAATCAGGTTGTTGTACCATAGTTGTTCAGATTTACATTAACAGTAATTTTTCCAAGTACCAACCTGTGCTTGGATGGTATTTCATTTAATACCAATTGAATAAAAATGGTATCTACGTAGCATACCAATTAGAGATAGAATGGTATCATTGTAGACTACCAATTAGAATAGAAATTTGCTAAAGCACGTACCATGTGTTTGCTTTTATTTTATCTTGTGACATCGTGGATAATAATCTCACTTATATCTTCATCATATTATTGTACAAACGCAATGCAATCCAAAAGATTGTAATACATACATACATACATACATACATACATATACATATACATATATATATACATACATACATGTATACATATACATACATATATATATAGAGAGCGACTAAACCAACTAAGTATTCATTTGTGTCCAGCTCAATCAATTGATGAAAATCCACTAAGCTTGGTACAAGTTAAAAAAATTGATAATCCAGAGTAAATTTCCTTGGTTTTGAACCAAGTCGAGCTAATGGTGTTAAACTCTCATGCAAGACACACGAGGGTTGTGGTTCTTAATTCAATAGTGTATATATTCAGGCATGAACACAATAACACTTCTAAAGGGTTTTTGGAGCGGAAACGGATGTTAGTGGCTGCAGCGAGAAAAATGAAAGAAATTGCTTCGGGTTCTATAGCAGGATCAAAGTACATCAAGTCTATCAACCAAATCTTCTGTTCTTTAAAAGAGAAGGCAGCACACCACCAATGTTCCTTCATTAGAACAGGGACAAGTAGCTGCAATTCTAGCGCTTTATCACAACCTATCTTTCAAATCACAGCATACAAAATAGAAAATCAAAACAACCTAACTCACCATAGAAAGTTGTCTAGAAGGCACACCCTGCAAAGGTTGCCCATGTTTTTTTGGAAAGGGTAGGAGCATTGTCCATGTCACAGACCAGCTTAATCTGAATAATGCAAAAATAAAATATAACAATTTTAAAGCATACATGTACCAATACAGTGCATACAATCAAAAATATCTTACGTACCACAAAGGAAGGATGCAGCATGATCCTTTTGTTGTGCCCCTCATACTGGATACCCCATTCCTTAGTATACAACTTAGATGCCACGCCCTCATATTGCGTACCAATCCTTCGGCGACAATGCACAATATAATGGAAACATTCCTTATTAGCAAATCCCCTTCACATTCCAGGGGAGTTGGACCACAGACAGAAGAAAAACAACAAATGAATTTTGAACTACATATCTAAAAATTCTTAACAATAACACCAGCAATGACTAATGAATGCAAAAAATAGACAAGCTTTCAGCTTAATCACTGGATCACATCAAAATATATACCAAATTGGGCCTAGATGCTATCTTATTTGAATACCATCTTTGATCTGGAAAGTATCAAGATGGTATAGTATTTGAATACCATCTTTGATCTGGAAAGTATTAGGAAGGTATAGTATTTGAATACCATCTTTTCAAGTGACGACCATTCAACACTAAAATTAGCATAAACAATTACATCTAGAAGAATTATTCATGAATATTAACATGTCAAATAAACTCCCTCATATCTTCATTATTAACAAAAACCATGTTATGTTGCTACTTCATAAAAGCACGACGTCAACAAATAAACAAAAAAAGGGACCGCATGCACTCACCTGCCACTTGCGGAACACCAAAGTCTAATCCAATTTACAAGTTCGTATCAGCTGGCTTAAGCACTCGAAACCTATGATTTACAACGTAGTCTCCAGAAATCACCTTCGAAGACGGCTTTAAGGACCGCTTCCCAACACTCTGATTCCGGTTCTTATCTCCATCTTCAGCTTCCTCTGAAATAAATGAAGCCTCAGATTCATGTGAATGCAGCTGTGAAGCCTCGTGTTCATGCAATCCCTTCCCAAGCCCCCCTTTCCCTCTTTCCCCACTGTCCTTGTTTCCTTCGCCTTCCAAACCATTCACAGCTTCCCCTTTGTCACCAGAGGCTGCCATTTGACATGCCTCAGCAGACTTGTCACCCTTTCCTCCCATTGATTCACAATAAGTACCTTTCTTGTTCACGTCCTTTGGACTTAACTCAGGTGCAATATTCCTTGTTTTGGGGTGATGAACGTGACAAAATTCAGAACACACCTTAGAGGGCGACTTCCTTAATCACTTCTCCAACCGTAAATTGTGTATTTCCAACAATATCAACATCATCCAACTTCCTAAAAGTTTCATCCAGCGAAGTCCTATTCACATTAGGTGACTCCAATTCGCGCTCCTTGATTGAGTCAGAGCCAGAAGAAGTGACAACACCACTAGGAACAGGGGACCTTTCCTTCGACGCATTCCTCAAAGTAGGCCTGTTGTTGCCAGCTTTCAGCATCATCTCCATATTCTCAAACATGGTCTTCAACATAGGCTTCATCATTTCCACAACCGAGTGTATAAAGTAAAAAATTGAGTTAGCTAATCATAAAAAATTAACAACAACCACTCTGAATACAACCAAATCCCTAATCCATTACCTCGTTTGCAATCCTCACTTCCAACGGTTGGAAGGAGTCTCTTCCAACCAAAGGATGTCGTTCCCCGTAAGCTACATCAACAGTCTGCAAATTGGAATCAAGACTTACATCAATACATCTTCAACATAAGCAGAAAACAAATATATTATAACACACAAATTACACATTTACTTTCAGTTTCCCATAGTCTAATGACGGGAGCAAATCGGCTTGAATAACAACACCAAGTTTCTTCTCAGTCCACACCTCTAATCTTAGCATATTCCCCCAACTCAAACGAGGCAATGCAATGTGATCCAAGTAAAAAATCTGCATGACCGAACACAATCAACATAAGCTTAAATGTTTTAATAACATAAATACAAGGAATAAATTTCTATAAGGTTGAGTAACATCACCTTAAGGAATAGAACGTATCCACCGCCACCAGGTGCATACCTTTTGCTCTCAAGCTTCTTCCTAAAGTCTCGCACACAGGTCATCAACCAACTGTGTGCACATGAACACCAATCGAAATCACTTGCAGCAGCCCCAATTGAAACAGCGGGCAATAAGACAGTTGCCATGCTCTGACCATTCGTAGTAGGACATAACAGTAGTCCCAACATCACTATCAGAAATGCTTTCATAAACTGGTCCTTCTCATAATCTGTTGTAATTGGCATCAAAGGAAACTCATCAAGTGCCTTCTGAATCACAATAAGACAGAATCCCATAATCCTCAACAATACGATTAACTCTCTCTTGCATAGCAGCATTCTAAACTCTAACAGGCACGGGGTTTGGACCCCGAGGAAGACCAAATATGCACTCTCCAATGTTCAGGGCATAAAGGTAACTCCCTTCCATCTCCTCCAGTAAACATCTTCTTCTCAAGATCAACCCTGGACATAAGCCAGTAACAAAACCTACGATCCGACTTCGTTACTTGCAGCGTCAACAACCCTCCAAAACCACTTTCCTCCAACTATTTAATTTTATCGTCATCTACCCTCAACCCCTAAACAACATCAACAAAAGCACCAACACGATAATTGAAATTCGCTGGCTGATGACAAAATAAAATGCAAAGAACCTTTTATCACCACATATACATGAACAAAATAAATGGGACATTTTGAAATAATACTAAATATTTATGTTCCAGTTGCAATTCCTCTACTGAGTTGCAACTACCACACCATTTTTTTTTTTACTTTCTCACCCTACGTTAGGCCCGGTTGTTCAACAACGACCTACCATCAAACAAATATTTATTATCATCTACCATTCTAAATTCACAAACTCAACATACAAACTCATTTTACATCCTATTTGAAATTTACTGTTTATGTACCTCTTCTTATTCAACTACTACTGGTCGCTTTACCCTTTTCACAATCCTCTGTTGAATCTGAGGAGGTCTGCTCAAGGGTTTTAGCAGAAGAACAACTTTACGCTTCTTATCAGTGTGAGTAACTATGTACTCTGACTCCTCCTCATAGTCAGCAACATTTAAATCAGCTTCAACATAGTCTTCTTCTTCTTCCACCACATAGACAGCATCATCAGAATTTGACCCACTAATCATTTTGTCAAAGTTATAATCTTCTCCTTCCTCAACATCCTCAACAACCACACCTTTCATTTTCTTTTTATTGTTCGTCTGTTTGCTAGATGAAGCAGCTGGAACATTCCTCATTATTTTTTTTAGGCTAGACTACATATGGTACAATGCAAAATGATTCAATATCTACATTCACTTATAGCACCGTAGTTATGATCAGAGAACAAAACTCAT